CCCCAAAACCCCAAAACCCCAAAACCCCAAAACCCCATCTTATACTTTAATAGTTGAATTTAAATCATTAAACTTAATAGGAGATGGAAGCCAGACCAGCAGAGGATATTCTTGAATCAGACTTATATCCACGACAAGAAAGAGTATTAGGTACTTAATCCAGACTCAGCTATAGATGAAACTACAGACAGTGGGTCTATCAGACTCAGACTAATGCAATGGAACATTCTTGCAGATGTTCTGTGATATGGATTTCCAATGGTCCCGAAGGGATATCTCCAGAAAGACTACAGACTCCCGATGATCTTACAGGAGATAGAAGATTCTGCAGATGAAGTTGATGGTAAAAAGTCTCTTCCAGCCTTGATCCTCCTTCAAGAAGTTGATATGGTGGATGATATTTACACAGGTATAAATTCATTAAGTAAAGAGACTTACGGAGAGTTTGAGTATTCATATGAGTTTATTCCAAAAACAGGGGATCACAATGACGGGCTTTGACTCTTGTACGATACCGAGCAGTACAAAGCTCTTTATATTAAGAAGGATCATTATAGAGGACCTATTGGAGACTGCAAATCTGATAGAGTTTACCTAATGATTCTCTTCGAGCATATAGAAAGCCAGAAGAAGCTGGTAGCCTGTACTTTACATTTGAAATCCAAGCCCCATAATAGGAAAATTCGGGCTAGAGAAATCACAGAATATATGTGCAAATTAGGAGAATTTTGACATGAAATTGAAGAACAAGAACATATTCCAAAGGGTGAAGGCAAGAATTTACCGATTATAGTTGCTGGAGACTTCAATGATGAACCAGAATCTCCAATTATTCAGACCCTCTTCGATACAGATATCACTAATGGGATAAAATTTGAATGTGCTTATCAAGTTGATGGTGAATTTCCAGAATTTACGACTTATAAAATCCGTAGGATTGGGGAAATCATTAAACACACTATTGATTACACTTTCCATAACCAATATGCGAAGGTTAAGAGCATCAGGGAGATGCCTAAGGAGGAAGATATTCCAGAAATAGGTAACCCAAGTCATAGATGTGCCTCTGACCACTTTTCATCTGCAGTCACCTTTGAATTCTAATTCACTGTCACACTAAATGCAGTAAATTAATTTAAGTAATTGGGGTTTTGGGGTTTTGGGGTTTTGGGGTTTTGGGGTTTTGGGGGTGTGGGGTTT